TACGTACTGAATTATGCCTTGTTAATGTTTTCATGAAGAAATAATGTTGTTTGTGTTCATCAAGAGGAATGTTTGGTTGTGACGCACAGAGAATGTTTTGGTTTAATGTTTAATTATCTGAAAAAAATGTCAGCGACAGATTTTCGCTCACACCCGGTGGATTGTCACCATGTCATTATGTGAACACGTGATTGTCATAGCCCTAAAGATTCACATTCGATCTTGTTGACAGAATAATGACCACCTTCTAGTACGAGAATGGTTTTTGGTTTCCAAAATATCTTAGAAGAACTCCCATAGATACTTAGAAGTAGTCATGACTACCTTATGTGTTTGTTTTACGAGACTTTATCGCCGAGGGGGGAGTGAGTGGTGATGATGGTAGGTGATGCCTTTGTTAAATGCCTGATTACTGAGTGAAGTGGATGTGTGTTGTGCAACTCTACAAAGCCGAATGTTTTGGTGTGTGGTAGGCCTACAGCACCACCAATAGTCTTGACTACGAGTGAGTGACTGAGGATGTGAGTGAGGGAGCTGATGTGCCCTTACAAATAGGGGGTTACTGAGTGAGTGAGTGTAGGCCGAGCAGCCATTCATGGGGCTACTCACTAGTGGTGTCATGTCACCTGTCATTTATGCTGTAACCTCGTGATTTTAATAAAAGCCTCTAACACGATGCAGCATATACGGACTCTTTGTTGACAGCAATAATGACCACCATTCATCAGATACGACACTATGCAAGTATTTTATTGTCCGAAAATATCTATAGCATAGAAATTCTCCCATGGTACTTAGGAATGTGCGTGACTGACTGACTTACTGAGTGAGTGTGTAGGCCTGATGCTGCCACTCTACAATAGCCTGACTTACTGAGGGGTGTTGTGTCTCATGCAGTGGAGGACGGTGCCGTTTAAGATGAGGGAGGACCATTCTTTTTTTGTATGAGCATGGCCTTATTTCTATTACAGCATACTGGATGACTGTCATTCATATTCCATTCACCCAGCTCAACGTAACATCGATGGGTTTCAGCTACTACATGATACTTGAATGTTCCCTGTAACCATCATGAGGTTGCTACAACCTGGCCTACGAATGAGAGTTTATAACAATCAGTAGGTGCACAGGTCGAGAGAAACATTTAAGTAATCAAGGTGACAGACAGTGACACATTTTCAATACCACCTTGCACACTCTTGCCTGCATCTAGCTTATCGGCGGAATGAATACACCCCTGATCACATGCAAACACAGTTCACTTTCATAGCAGCCACACACAAACAACATGATCATTTTGCCCGTTTTATAGTTTCTTCTCACATCTATGCGCTCTCCTCCTCTCACTTTTTCCCTTCGCTTGTGGGCTTCAGCATTTCATTCATTATTTCAGTATGTGGGGGCAAAGGACAGTACTTTAGACAAGACCCTTACACAATCATCAGAAAGGGCTTTTCCTGGTGTTGTTCTGGTCCTGCTCAGTGTGGTTTGTGAGAGAAAAATTACGTATTTACCTGATTTGTTTGATATTAATAGTTAACAATATATACTTAAAAAGTAAGACATTTCTGTTCTACTAATGCTGTGTTCTGGTAAAGGGATGGTTTCCACTTTAGCTCCCTGCAACTAATCTGGGCGTATGGTCACTAGAGATAGCTTGAGCTGACAATTGATTGAGCCTGCATTCCATAGACAAGATGTGGTGTGTGGAACTGAGATAGGGATAGCTTGGAGGAGTAGAACGAAAATCCTCATTGTTCCTAATCATCCTGGCATCTGGGAAACTAAGTCGGGGTGGGGTTAAAACGGGACCAGGTGCAGATAACCGCAAGATGGTTTATGATGCCCCCGATCTGCATGGGAGGGATGGAACCAGCCATGACTAAGCATTTTAGAACCAGGATTCCTCTGTAAGGTCAAGCTCTCGGCACACACACTTCAGAGTGTGCGTTCGACCAGCTTCAATATTGCAATAATTAATCAATGTTAAATAAAGATTGATTGTTTGAATAATTGTCCAAGTCGCTCTCAGTATACATGAATTTCCACTACAATTTTGGAGACGAGGATGGGATCTGCAACTTCACCTGTTGACCGCTCCTGAAGATCTGGGTAAACTGTGCACAGGGGATCAGAAACTGGGATCCCAGGGAAACCACACTCATGAAAGAGCAGCTGGACCTGCCTTAGATCTGAGAGGAAGTGGGAGCGGGTGGATGCCAGATCCCGAACCAAGTACTGAGAGAGGTGAGCTTGGACAATCTACCAATAGGTTAAGAAGCCCCTGTTGAGGGTATGCTCAGAGCGAAGTCTTCCTTACGAGGGCCACAGCTGAGGTAACTAGCAGGACTGAATTGAGTTGATAAGAGTGTTCTTAAGTGAGGTATCTTTGGACATAATTGTTAATTAGCTAGTTGCGGGCAACCAAAAGTCCAGATCCGTGCTACTGGGTTGATTACAGTAGGGCTGGTGAGGTTAATGTGGAGCGAGGGACTAGAGAGCGAGTAATCCTGCGGGAAAACTCGGCTTGGTGAGGCTCATTGAACGAGGGACTAGAGCGCAGGTGACGCCCTGCGAGGGCATCTGGCTTGGTGAAGTTCAAATCATAACGTGTAATGTTTTGTTGAAATGATTTGATAAATGAGGTAAACAGGCGGAATGCCCTGGGTTACTATATGTAGGTGTTATTGTGAGTGTTTCGTTATTCCTGGCACTTCACCTGAGGTGGAGGTTAGATAATATAGATTTCTGGGACTGTGTTAAGCAATTAGATAGAAGACTCTGTAGGTAGTTCTGCACATTTGGATAGACGTAAGAGTCTATACCACAGTAGTCGCAGTAGGCGATATCCCAGTGTGGATACAACACCCTGTTGTGGGACCACTAATTAGGCAATATTCTGATAATGGTATGGGTTACCCTGTTCATATAGACAGGGTCTGAAATCTAAAAACAGCACTAACCGGTTTTTCTCTTGTCTGTCTCATTCCCCTGTGTGTCCTGTGTTTGTGTTTTATGTGAGTGTGTGAGTGATGGAGCAGGAACCATGGGAGCACACGGGAGCAAGGGACATGGCATTCCAGATCCCCCAACGGGGGCCCTGAAGGTTATGGCAGATAAGTGGGGAAGGGACATTCTGCACCCTATTTTTTTGATAGGGACACTGAGTGTGATGATGTTAGATGAAGTCAGGGAAAGACTGACAGAGTATGAAGGGACCAAAAAAGGTCAAAAGGATAAGATAGACTGGGTTGAGTTCAGAAAGTGGGAGAGAGAGGCAGAAAGGCAGAGACAGGACCCATTTAGAGGAAAGCCCCGTCAGTACACAGGGACAGGACCCATTTAGAGTAAAGCCCCGTCAGTACACAGGGACAGGACCCATTTAGAGGAAAGCCCCATCAGTACATAGAGGCAGGACCCATTTAGAGTAAAGCCCCATCAGTACAAAGGGACAGGACCCATTTTGAGGAAAGCCCCATCAGTACACAGAGGCAGGAACCATTTAGAGTAAAGCCCTGTCAGTACTCAGGGACAGGACCCATTTTGAGGAAAGCCCCATCAGTACAAAGACACAGGACCCATTTTGAGGAAAGCCCCGTCAGTACACAGGGACAGGACCCATTTTGAGGAAACCCCCATCAGTACAAAGACACAGGACCCATTTTGAGGAAAGCCCCGTCAGTACCCAGGGACAGGACCCATTTTGAGGAAACCCCCATCAGTACAAAGACACAGGACCCATTTTGAGGAAATCCCCGTCAGAATATGGTAGTACAGACTGAGGAAGAAGGGAAAACAGACCAAGATGAGACAGTGAGAAAGAACAGGAAGGACAATGAGAGAGATTTCCCCCCTCCCTGTTCTACACCTCCTAATCTCTACCCAGCGCTGCCTGGGCCTGTGGCTGCGGCTGTCCACCTTCCTCCCCCAACTCCACAGTTCACTGCTGTGCCTCCCCTTCCGTATGAATCTCCCCTAGCAGCAGCGGTTGACAAACTGCTCTCTTGACTGGCCATGCTGGGTGGAATGTCAACCCCAAAACCAACCAGAAAGGGTGCTGCTGGAGGAGCCAGAGCAGCGGGTGGAAAGAGCAACAACCCCTCCTCACAACAACCACCCCCAGCCAGCCCGGTGGAGGAGGATGACCCCTGGAGGAGGATGTCCTCTTAGAACGGAGCAGCAGCTCCCCTACTCTTTTCCCCTCCGCTCAAGAGCCATCTGAGAAGGAAGATAGACATGCCGACACCCTCACCATATGATCCAGCACCAGATATGGACACCCTCACCATAATATCCAGCATCAGATATGGACACCCTCACCATATGATCCAGCACCAGATATGGACACCCTCACCATATGATCCAGCACCAGATATGGACACCCTCACCATATGATCCAGCACCAGATATGGACACCCTCACCATATGATCCAGCACCAGATATTGACACCTTCACCATATGATCCAGCACCAGATATGGACACCCTCACCATATGATCCAGCACCAGATATGGACACCCTCACCATATGATCCAGCACCAGATATTGACACCTTCACCATATGATCCAGCACCAGATATTGACACCTTCACCATATGATCCAGCACCAGATATGGACACCCTCACCATATGATCCAGCACCAGATATTGACACCTTCACCATATGATCCAGCACCAGTATTGACACCTTCACCATATATCCAGCACCAGATATTGACACCTTCACCATATCATCCAGCACCAGATATTGACACTTCACCATATGATCCAGCACCAGATATTGACACCTTCACCATATGATCCAGCACCAGATATTGACACCTTCACCATATCATCCAGCACCAGATATTGACACCTTCACCATATGATCCAGCACCAGATATTGACACCTTCACCATATGATCCAGCACCAGATATTGACACCTTCACCATATGATCCAGCACCAGATATTGACACCTTCACCATATGATCCAGCACCAGATATTGACACCTTCACCATATGATCCAGCACCAGATATGTATCAACAGAACCCTCAGCCACAACCAGCTGCAGGCCACGCTGATTTGGCTGCCTGGCAACCAATCGTGTATATCCAGAGGACATGGAGACAATGAAATTAAAAATATTGTTGAGGATCTGCCTGACCCCAGCAAAGATGCGGTAAAGTTTGCAGCAGAAATAAGGGTTCTGGCAGAACAGTACCAGTCATCTGCAGCTGAGATAGCCCTTATCTGTAAGAAGAAACTGCGGCTTAGGTGGGCTGATGTAGAAGGGGACATTGATTCCAACCAGCTCTGGGCTGAGAATGGCCTATATCAGGACCAACTGGTGGCCATGTTGGGAAGAATAGGAGCACTGTACCCTACCAAGACTGACTGGACGACCATCAGAGAATGCACCATGAAGAAGGATGAGAGCCTGGAAGCGAATCGAAGGAGACTGGAAACCTGTTTCAGGCTGCACAGCGGCATCAGAACAAATGAACTGGCGTATGGAGATCTGTTGAAGGACACCCTGGTGAGGGGCCTGACACCAGACCTGGAGAAAGCGGTGAGAACCACCTGTATCAGTTGGGAAACTGAACACCTGGCCACTGTGGTACAACATTGCAAACATGCTGAGCGACAACAATGTGCTCAGAAGGAAGAAAATAATAATAATAATAATAATAATATGCCATTTAGCAGATGCTTTTATCCAAAGCGACTTACAGTCATGTGTGCATATATTTTTACGTATGGGTGGTTCCGGGGATCGAACCCACTACCCTGGCGTTACAAGCGCCATGCTCTACCAATTGAGCTACAGAGGACCAAAATAAAAAATATGAAAAAGTGAAGACTCAGAAGTTGCAAGTTTCCCAGTTGACATTCTACCAGGGGCAGGTGCCTGCTGCAGTGGGAGGTGGTGCAAGTGGAGGAAAACCCAAACCTGGAAGCTGTTCACCTGTCACAAGCCAGGCCATTTCCCTGCACAATGCAATCAAGAGGCAGGGGCGGACCAAGAGGCAGAGGAGCCCCAAGGGGGGCCCCTCGAGGAAGAGGTCCACCAGGAGGACACTGTGGTATCCCTCTGCTCAACAGCCATGGCAACCGCCACCCAACCAATGGCCAGGGCCACCCCCACAGGGGGTCCCTCCGCCACAGTGGAGACCACAAGGGGGCCCTCAAGGCAGAGGCCAATCTGTGCAATGGCATTCTTCGAGGTAGAATTGTCAGACCAACCAGAGCAGTTGTTCTTAAAGAGCCACACCCTTCCTCGAACTGAGCCAACAGTGGAGGCTTGCGTCCACCATTGGTTGGTCTGACAATTCTACCTCATCTGTCCCTGTCTCTTCATCATGTCAATATTCTTCCTCCTGTTCTTGTCCTTGTACAGGGTTGTCTGTGCAGGTGAGCCCGTCTGTAATCAATAATATTTATTGTTGATACTGGGGCTGCAATGTCTGTGATTAACTGTAAGGCTATGAAGAAACCTCCCATGTCTAGTGAAACAGTCAAGACTGTTGGGGCCTCAGGCCTCCCTTTCAAGGAGCATGTAACCATGCCCCTGCCTGTCTCCTTTTGTGAGGAGAAATATCAGCATCAATTTCTCTACTCTGACCACTGCCCAGTCAACCTGATGGGAATTTTCATGTCTGAAGCAGGCTTACATTGCACGTCCCGTTTCTCACCATTGACAAGAGACCTGAGAACAAATGGCTGTTTGACAGTGTAGCGCCAGAATCAGTACAGTGTGAGGGTCTGTACTGTAGCAGCGACTTCTGTGTCTTAGGGGTTAATTTAACCCCAGGGCAGAGGGAGCACAGAGGGAGCACAGATGGAGCACAGAGGGAGCACACAGGGAGCACAGAGGGAGCACAGAGGGAGCACAGAGGGAGCTCTACATGTTTGAAGATAGACACCACATGTGTCCTTGGCATCACACAGAGTTGAGTGGGCGGTTTGGATGAAGGGGCTGGTATAATGCTGTTGATTGGGAAATGCGTCCAGATGGGTCAACCTATGCACCCTGGTTGTTACCCGTTCAACTCGGACACACATTTTACATTTTAGTCATTTAGCAGATGCTCTTATCCAGAGCGACTTACAGTTAGTGAGTGCATACATTCTTTTTTTATTTTTCATACCCCCTGTGGGAGTCGAACCCACAACCCTGGCGTTGCAAACGCCATGCTCTACCAACTGAGCTACATCCCTGCCGGCCATTCCCTCCCCTACCCTGGGCCAATTGTGCGCCGCCACATGGGTCTCCCGGTCGTGGCCGGCTACGACAGAGCCTGGATTCGAACCAGGATCTCTAGTGGCACAGCTAGCACTGCGATGCAGTGCCTTAGACCACTGCGCCACTCGGGAGCACACCAGTTGATAGGGGTGTGCATGGATTGGACCAACCCTCATTTGTCACCAACATCATGCTTTAGAGTGAGGATTCACCCCCTCTTGAGAGGGGTCCCTAATTGCCTATGGGAAAGGGAGAAGTATGATTTTGGGAGGATGAAGGGAGCTGAGCCACTTGTGGTTACTCCTAAAGATACCAGGTGCCCCTCCAGAGCACAGTATCCATTCAGTATAGAAGCTATTGCTGGTATTACTCCTGTACATGCTTCATTGTTAGAGCATGGAGCGTTAGTCCTGTGTCCAGAGTCACCTTGCAATACCCCTATCTTGCCAGTAAGAAAAGCCTCAGGTGATTGACGTTTTGTCCAGGATTTGAGTCCTGTCAATGATGCTGTGTTTTCCCGTGCCCCTGTGGTTCCCAATCATTTACATTACATTTTAGTCATTTAGCAGACGCTCTTATCCAGAGCAACTTACAGGAGCAATTAGGGTTAAGTGCCTTGCTCAAGGGCACATTGACAGATTTTTCACCTAGTCGGCTCAGGGATTAGAACCAGCGACCTTTCGGTTACTGGCACAACGCTCTTAACCACTAAGCTACCTGCCGCCCCAATCCAACTACATTGATATCTGTAGTTCCAGCCACAGCTAATTGGTTTACTGTTGTGGATTTGGCTAATGCGTTTTTTAGCATTCCTGTCACACCAGTCACATTCCTCGGTAAGAGATTTACGTGGACTGTGGCCCCAATGGGGTACACTGAGTCCCCCGCAATTTTTTCAGCTGCATTAGCACAACATTTGGAGGGTTTCATTCCCCTGGAGGGAAGCACTCTAATACAGTACGTTGATGACTTGTTATTGTGCTCTGAAACTCGAGCTCTTTTGATCTTTCTGGCAGAGAACAGCCGCAAAGTATCAAAAAATAAGTTGTAACTTGTCTCCCACTGTAAAGTATTTGGGTCAGGATATCACCCCCAATGGCAGGCGGCTGGGTCCAGAGAGAGTGCAAGCTATTCTCTCTGTCCCACAGCCTGTTACCAAACAGCACGATGTCACTGACTGGTATGGCAGGGTACTGTAGGGCGTAGCTGCTCGACTATGCCGAGGTTGTCCAGCCTCTATCAGATCTCATCTATGGTCACAAGATGGCTACGAATGACAAGATAAATGGACCCCTGAAAGACTGACTGCCCTGATGAAACTGAAACATGCTCATGACTACTTCCCCATGTTTGGGCCTGCCTGACCATTCTAAGCCTTTCAATCTGTTTGTGTGTGAGAATAATGGGTTTATGTCTTCTGTGTTGACTCAGGACCATGGGGGGAAACAGAGACCAGTGGGTTATTATTCTAAGCGATTGTATTTTTGTATTTATTACGGATCCCCATTAGTGGTTGCCAAGGCAGCAGCTACTCTTCCTGGGGTTTATTACGGATCCCCATTAGTTCCTGCCAAGGCAGCTGCTACTCTTCCTGGGGTTTATTATGGATCCCCATTAGTGGTTGCCAAGGCAGCAGCTACTCTTCCTGGGGTTTATTATGGATCCCCATTAGCGGTTTGCCAAGGCAGCAGCTACTCTTCTGGGGTTTATTACGGATCCCCATTAGCGTTGCCAAGGCAGCAGCTACTCTTCCTGGGGTTTATTATGGATCCCCATTAGTTCCTGCCAAGGCAGCAGCTACTCTTCCTGGTGGTTATTATGGATCCCCATTATCCGGTTGCCAAGGCAGCAGCTACTCTTCCTGGGGTTTATTATGGATCCCCATTAGTTCCTGCCAAGGCAGCAGCTACTCTTCCTGGGGTTTATTATGGATCCCCATTAGTTCCTGCCAAGGCAGCAGCTACTCTTCTGGGGTTTATTATGGATCCCCATTAGTGGTCTGCCAAGGCAGCAGCTACTCTTCCTGGGGTTTATTACGGATCCCCATTAGTGGTTGCCAAGGCAGCAGCTACTCTTCCTGGGGTTTATTACGGATCCCCATTAGTTCCTGCCAAGGCAGCAGCTACTCTTCCTGGGGTTTATTATGGATCCCCATTAATTCCTGCCAAGGCAGCAGCTACTCTTCCTGGGGTTTATTACGGATCCCCATTAGCGGCTGCCAAGGCAGCAGCTACTCTTCCTGGGGTCCAACCACAATTTACATACAATAAAACAATACATAACAACAACTTATTACACACTACTCTACCATGACATATTTATAATATACAAAATCAATAATACAGCAAAATAACAATATTCAAATGTGTGTGTGTGTAGAGTGCGTGTGTTAGCATGTGTAGCATGTGTTTGGATAGTGTGGCGAGAGGTTTGGTGTGTTGTTTGAGGGCGGCTGCTGAAGCTGTACTTGCATGTGCTGACGTTGTTGCAATGTGTCAACTAACTGTGCATGTGCCACATGCTGTTCATGTTCTCATCTCACAGGCAAAGACTGCTCATCTGACTCCAGTGAGGTTGCTCCACTATCAGAATGTGCTTCTAACCATGTCTCATGTGACCCTGAAAAGGTGCACTGTGCTCAATCCAGCAGCATTGTTGCCAACCGAGGAGGACTGGGAGCCACATGACCGTACAGCTCTGGTTGAGCTTGCGTCTAAACCAAGGTGAGATTTGACTGATGTTCCCTTTGCAGAATGCTGATCTGGAAATATTTGTGGATGGCTCCGCCCAGAGATCTGAGAAAGGGGAACCACTTGTTGCTTTATGCGGTTACCACTGCAGCAACCACACTGTGGAGTGCTACATTACCATCACACCTTTCTGCTCAAGCTACAGAGTTGTTTGCCCGTCACCAGAGCTTGTATATTGGCTAAAGGCCAGTCAGTCACCATTAACACAGACAGTAGATATGCATTTGGTGTGGTACATGATTTTGGAACTCTGTGGAAACAACGTGGCTTCCTCACCTCCTCCGGCAAGACTATTGCTCACTCCAAACTTGTTGATAACCTGTTGAAAACAATACTTCTTCCCTCTGAAATTGCTGTTTGTAAGTGTTTAGCACATACTAACTCTACTAAGGCCTCAGTCTGCGGGTTTAGTTGAACGTGCTAATCAGACCGTGAAAATTAAGATGGTTAAACTTATGGCAGAGACTGGTCTCCCCTGGGTCACTGTGATGCCTTTGGCGCTGATGTGGATGGACTTAAATAACAGCAGCTCCAGCTCGAGCCAACGGCAGGCTCAGGACTGGAGTCCAGTAAACATAGCCGCCCTGGGCCTCCCGAGTGGCGCAGTGGTCGAAGGCACTGCACCGCAGTGCTAGCTGTGCCACTAAAGATCCTGGTTCGATTCCAGGCTCTGTCGCAGCTGGCCGCGACCGGGAGACCCATGGGGCGGCGCACAATTGGCCCAGCGCCGTCCAGGGTAGGGGAGAGTTTGGCCGGCAGGGATGTCCTTGTCCCATCGCGCACTAGCGACTCCTGTGGCGGGCCGGGCGCAATGCACGCTGACTCGGTCGCCAGGTGTACGGTGTTTCCTCCGGCACATTGGTACGGCTGGCTTCCGGGTTGAGCGGGCACTGTGTCAAGAAGCAGTGTGGTTGGGTTGTGTTTCGGAGGACGAACGACTCTCGACCTTCGCCTCTCCCGTGTCCGTACGGGAGTTGTAGCGATGGGACAAGACTGTAACTACCAATTGGATACCACGAAATTGGGGAGAAAAAGGGGGTAAAATACAAAAAAAATAACTATAGCCGCCCTGAGACCAGAAGAAGCAGGAGGTCGATGCGTCCACTGGATGAGCATCACAGCCGGAAACACTTGGTTGGTCACTGCTTAATTATACAGTCAAAACTGAGCTGATGGTAGAAAACACATCCTGTTGTGTATGTAGTCTTTTTCCACACTCAGCGATCTCACCATTCTTACAGTATTCGGTAGAGGCCAACATTAATGACACTGTGTGCACTGGAAGTGCTCTTATCAAATGAAACTTCATGGGGTCAACCTTCACAGGGTAATACTATGAAGGAAAAATGCATTAATGGTGATTTGTCATCAACAAGAAATATGAGAGATTTGATTGTAAACATTGGTGCACCAAAATTATTTTAGAACCTAGACACCGTGTACCAGAACCTATTCTAATCCAACCCCGGCGAACCCCATTCCGAACCTGCCATTGTCACAACCCAAGTAATATCTCCATACCAAGATCTAATGAATGTCAACATGTGTTAATTACAGAGTCTTCCCAATAGGATGTAGCTGGATAAATGGAACAAGCACTTCTAAATGGTCCCGGTAAACTGAATGTGGGGCACACAACTATTTGGACAGAAACAGACGATCGCTCTCCACATCAATATGGCTCAGCCACGTTTACTGATCATTATTGGATCTGTGGTGATAAGGCATACCTTTGTCATGACT